TTTTAATTATCTATATTTAAAAAAATGAAATGATTGTATTCATTATTGTAACCATCATTTCTGTATATACTTTTTAAAAAAAATATGCAATTGTACTAAATAAATTGGAAATTTATTTTCAAATTATTATAATTATTATAAAAACCTTAATGAAAAAAATTAATTATTCAATTGATTCGATTTTATACCCATATGACTAAAATTAAGTGACATGAGGATAAAGACGATATGAAACCATAGCGATGAAAAACGAACAAAAAAATGAGAAATAGAAACTTATACCGATATGGGTAATATGAATTTAAAATTAAAATACGTCGATTTTTTTACAAACAGCTCTTGGTGCACTCCCTCCTTCAAGTATAAAATTTACTAGTATTCCGAATATCAATATACGTAAGTTCTTGCACACGATCCGATACAAGAACTTATGTAAGATCTTGTGTCGATTATCGTAGGCAAGATCTTGAACAAGATCTTGGGCCGGATCATAAGTGGGATCTGGCATAGGAACTTATGTAAGATCTTTTGTTATATTTCTCACCTGGGTACCGATACTCGATGCATTTGTTTTCGTATACCAATCAGACTTTCATATCGGAATAACCAATAGAACTCAAAATTACTTTTGAGACGAATGGAAAGTCTTGAAGCATAAGGTAGTTGCAATTTTCATCCGATGTAAATCTTTTTGCGACAAGAGAAGGATCGTATTCATTCATAGATAAGCCGTCGCTACCGAAACTAACTCTGCATACTATAATTTTTTTCTAAAATTAGTTTATAGAAAGAAAATTCTGGGGGGTTTGTGGTGCATGTTCTGACAACTAAATGAAGGGTTTCATATAAGTAAAAAAGTTATATGTTTCGCGGGCAAGATCTTGAGTTCGAGATCGTGCGCCATTGACGTTCACATTCTCTACCATTTCCACGACATTTACATACTCGGCCAACGATTGACCAGTTTTTGATGCCGTTGGCTGGAATCAAAAAATCGCACTTTCAAAAAATAGAAATTGCCACTGTTAATGACGACATTGACACTATGCTTTTTAAAATCATTATTTGCTTGAATTTTCGAATCCAGGTGACTTTTTTTAGGACAGATGACACATGGTATTAAAAAAGAATATGTCGCTGACCGAACCTACTTTTGCATATCGATTTTTTCGATAATGCTTTCAAAGAATACGATATTTCAATGAGTTGTTAGTCTTGAACCCAACTACTAAATTAAATATGTTAAGTCATAGATATTGTTTAACAATCACAGATAAAAATTGATGACGAAGTTGGACTGATGGTTCGTTATAGCATTTTACAATTTCTGCGACATTTCGTACTTTCTTGCGGTTACCGATCCTCGATGCATTTTTTTTCGTATACCAATCAGACTTTTTTATCAGAAAAAACCAATACAACTCAAAATTACTTTTGAGACGAATGGAAAGTCTTCAAGCATAAGCTAGTTGCAATTTTCATGTGATGTAAATCTTTTTGCGACAAGAGAAGGATCGTTTTCATTCATAAATAAGCCGTCGCTACTAAAACTAACTCTGAATACTATAATTTTTTTCTAAAATTAGTTTATAGAAAGAAAATTCTGGGGGGTTTGTGGTGCATGTTCTAACAACTAAATGAAAGGTTTCATATAAGTAAAAAAGTTATACTTTTTGCTGGCAAGATCTCATGTCCGAGATAGTACCCTTATGACGTTATCATTATTCTCAATTTCACATCCTTGGCTCACGGTTGACCGATTCTCGATGCAATTGTTTCGGAATACCTTTTCGCACTACTTAACAAAACCAACAAGAACTCAGAATTACTTTCATGTCGCCTCGAATTTGTTAAGTATTAGTTGGAAAATGTTTTAATTCGAACTGGATCTTTTCACGATATTGGACGGATGGTATTAAACAAGACCTCTTACCTATTTCGTCAGTTTAAGTTTTTTGAATACCTAGAAAATCAACTAAAATTCGAGAAGGTTTTCGATTCTGAACCGTATATTTAAATTAATGATCTTATGTCAGTCAAAAAGACATACTTATTAATAAATGTTATTTAGTGTGTCTACAGATATGTTTGGTGAAGTGATGATAAAATTGTCAAAAAATCAATGAGCATCAAAATTATATTTTCTACGATAGCCGACAATACATGATCGTTATCATATTTTGAAACATTATCATACATTGAATCAGTCAATTTTTTGCACTTTCATTTGCATTTCATTTAAATGTTATACTATTCACAGGCTAGAACTAATGTTCAAGATTGTATCTAAATGAACTTATATCATTTTTCGATCTTCGCGACATAAGCGAATAGGAGGTTGTACTTACAAAATTCGCAAGATTCTTTCCAGTAAGAAATTTGAAGGTCTTCTTAAGATTGTTCTTATAATAATTATCCATTTCTATAGTCTCAAAGTAAAAAACTTTATTACCATTTGAGAATTTCTACTCTCGTCACTCATCGGGATTATTTGATGAGGAAGAGACTTGGATGAGACTAGAAATTTTAAGATGAAAAAATCGTAGGTTATACGATTATAGTTGGCAATCATTTATCCATGATATTTTTTTCTGCGACATTAGCGAGAATAAGTTTGTCATTCCGAAATGCACAAGATCAATAAAAATAGACTATTTAAAGCGAAACTATTTCTTTGATTCAAAAGTTTAATGGGATTGTTAAATCAGTTCACCTCAGATATTAAGTAATTGCAGGAGTTTAAAACATTTCATTTTAAGATTTATAGATTTATTAATTGATTGTTTATGGAGCTGTTATAATTTTTCAAGAATACTGTGTATATCGAGTTGAAATTATACCGATTAATCGTAATTCGGACGTAAAAAATGAAATCTTGATAAATGAAAAAAGATGAAATCTGTTTTAAATTTTATTAATTTCTTTTGATAAAACAAATATTTGTTTGAATCTAACAAATTTCTCCAAGAAATGAACATTAAATGCCCTAGGAGATCAATAAATACATTTTTAATGTATAAAAATCAGATTATTAAAGTATCAATACTTGCAAATGTCTTATGTAATAAGGTTAATTTTACGGAAACAAGTCACTAGGTACATAACAAGTTCTTTATGTATTTTTTTTGTAAATATACTGAAAACGACTTCGCAAACTAGGAGCACATCTTTTTCTCAACGAAGGAAACATATTCATTTTTGCTTCCATCTTCTCTGTACTTGCATATTCTCGTGATCCTAATTCTTCACGGAAAGCAGATTCGAAATCTTTTAGTTCAGCTTTGGTCCATCTCATACGATTAGGTTTACCTGCCAATTCTGAAAAATTAACACATAATGAGTAAAATATTATCATCAACGAATTTTGCTTATTATCGACCTATCAATTATATGAAATATCTTTATAATCATGTTTGTTATTCATTTCGGAAAAAAACCTTGTAAAATAAAAAATCAAAAAATCTTAAGTACGTGTTCGTTTCATTCTATTTGTGTAATTTTCAGCACATTCATTGTTTCCCAAAAAAAAGTCCCTTGCCTTGTTAAGATCTTAACATCGCCTGATAACGATGTGTTGGAATTTATATTTAATAATTTTCCGAAAAAGCTAATGTTATGAAGATACCCATAAGAGGAATATTACACCAGTTCGACCAAAACATCGAAAAATTTTTTTATGTTTCCTTTCGATTCTTCGAAATGTGGACTAAAAATATCACCTGTGAATTTAATATGACAACATTGATCAGTATAGTTTAGGTCTAAAGTGATAGGTGTAGTTTAGGG